TTCCAAGAGCTAGGCTCACCAGAGTGTCCATGCCCAAACCATAATAACGTTCGTGTTCCAGGCGCATACGCTCACCAGAGCATCCATGCCCAAACCATAATAACGTTCGTGTTCCAAGAGCATACGATCACCAGAGCATCCATGTCCTCTCTTTATGCTTCGAACCCGAAGAAATCCTTGGCAAATGGTATTTCTACCTTTTATACTCCTCCCGAAAGTTTCGTTTTTTTCTACTTTCAAAATATGCTTTTCGCTGTAGCGAAACCCTTAAAATCGCTCAAAATGTTGACCCGTCTCAGTGTTTTAGGCCCTCCCCAAAATAAGCCTCTAAACTGCAAATCTGCAACAAAACCCAACGTTTTTGCAGATTTCAACTTCCCCAACCACTTTCCCTAGTCAAAAAACCTAGGGTCCACGAACAGACGTGCCACCTTGTTTTAGTGCCTCTCCTCTAGCAAGCCAACAAAACAAGGAAAACGCGTATCAGGAAATAAACTAGCCGGCCTCCCATCTTGCATACCTGGACTCACCTATCATCAATAACTTTTCCGGCCAGTTCCTGATTGACCCCGTGTCCGCGCTTTTGCATATGACATGCTCCCATTCTTCCTGGGATCCCGGGCTCTGGTGCCGCTGTGCATTCTTGCGCGAGATTTCAGTGGTGCTGTTGGCCCAGTATGTCGTTGACATGTCTTGCCTCAGGTAGCAAGGGGCAAGCATTTGCAACTCCTGAGGTGTTGCAGCATGGGGAGGCTCACGACTGTTGCAAATAAACTGTACTGAATTTGCCGGAGCACATCTCACTACGCCTTGGGGATCTTGCAGACAATGGCATCTCGCAGCTCCTAGTGCGCACGACTCGTTCAGCAAACAGCTTCATGAGATAAAACACGCACGCGCTGTCCGCAAGTCGGTGAATTGACTGTTGCTGCGTCGAAATGCATCATTTGTGCTGTCACCTTAGTCTTGACTCTTGACAGCAAACAGCACGCTTCAGCTGTTAGGTCTGCACGATGCGCAGGGAGTCAAGGTGTTCACATCAGCCGAGGCTCGGAATGCCGCAATGCTGCTTCTTGGACTCATGGACTTGCTGGGTCGGACTGGCTTGCCCATACTGAGTGGGCCTCAGCACTAGACCCGAAGCCCAGGAAGATTCAAAAAATCCGGGAGGCTCAGGCTCTCCTCTGAGGTGGCAATTTCGTTTGCCTTGTGCTCACGCGGACTCAGAGGCAGCCTTGCCAGCGCTGCGAACGCGAGACTTGTCTTGTCTGCATTGCCCTGCTTACCATGAAAGTGTAGCTTTGACCAGAAGTGAGAACCTCTGAGAGACTTGTGCTGACATAAGCCCAACCGTGTTGACAGAAGTCAAACATCTGCGCAGGCCTGGCCTCAGGGAAGAATTCCGCGGGGACAGGCCGGCACCGGCCAGAAGTCTAGGTGCAGCCGTCCTTGAGAGGGCACATGGCAGGTCAAAACACGTCAAGGAAGCTTTGACGTTTCTTGCCCAGCAGCGATGTCTGCGAGGATCCGCCCAGCACTTTTGACTGTAGATCACGTTGCTTCCTCGCCTGCTGCAAGTGCCAAACTGAAACATCTGTGGCTTTTCAAGCTGCCAACCCATGCCCGTGACCAGGAGAAAGTCTTCTCAGGAATGGACGTTGCAACTCAGTTGTGTCCAGGAGTCGCGGGCCTCCTGGCATGAACGAAATGCAGAACTGTCATTCAGAACTTATGAAAGAAACCGTTCCAGTTTGTTGGTCGTCAGCGGTCCTTGTGGCGAATGAGTTCGCCACGAGTATCCAACGAGCTCATGTTCGAGCTCTGCGTCCAATATTCGTTTTCGGTCTTCAGATCCACACCTTTCGCATGATCTGGCTTTAAAGATGCTGAGCAAGCACGTTCAAAATTTAGCCCTGCAATCAAGAGGCGATTTGCTTGCCTTAGCCAGGATGTGCAAATGTAGGCTACCACGGGATGAAAACGCAGGTGAGAGGAACGAAAACGAAATCTTCAGGCCAGCCAAGGCTCACCGGCCGCTCATCCTGAAAGCGCGCAGAAAATACAGAACTGTCGTAAGATGCCGTGACACCCATGTTTCTGATTTCGAGCAGGCCAGCCAAAGCCATATATGCGTATATGCAAGAACATGCAAGAACCAGAAGCATTTATTGCTGTGCACTTCAGGATGGCCGAGGTTGCGTCGTTCTCAATGAAGAAGTGGACGGTTGAGGCCTTCTTGGGAGAACCATGGCCTTTTCGCCTGCTGCTGGAAGAAGAGGGGCTGAGTCGGAAAAAAAAAAACACCATAGATTGACATCTGACGAGTGGCGGAGAACCATCGGTTACCTGGACCACTCCACTACCTGGGCAAAGCTGCTAAGCCTGCTAAGCTAACACTTTCGATAGGTTGTGAGTAGATGTGAATACCAGAGTTGTGCCCTTTCAATTTTAGGTCCGGAGGTTGAATGATAACCTTTCGACTTGCAGCGACTTGTGCTACCGCACGATGTCTCTTCCGAAAATACTTGCTTCAACAGTTTGAAGGAGTGTAACCGATCAACTCTGCGCCTAAAAGTCTATGGCGGGTTTTGCTTCGCAGGGGGACAAAGGACGGTCACCCTCTGAGTCGCAGAGCGCCATCCTCATGGCCCAAGCTGGCCACATCCAAGAAAGGCGAGGCAATGACTGGAATTCTGTCGGGATAAACAACAACCCTCAAGCAGGACTGCGACCTTCGACGTTGGGCGCGCTCGAGCAGAATGGTGGGCAAAGAGTGGATCATGGACAGATTTGATCAGCTCGGAAATGCTGAAACCTCAATCCTCCCATACTCGAACTATCCGAGTTCCTGTTTACACTAAGCCCTGCTCCGTGGTTCTCTGCTCACCTCATCCTTGCACATGCCGTGCGCAAGCTGCAGTTTCACTCTTGTACGTGGTCCAATGGTGTTGGTTTTGCTTGAGCCTTCATTCACTCAGGCTCGGCAGAAAGTCGTGGAAAGCCATTGAAGCCAAGGCACCCTGCAGCATTGTAGCCTCAAAGTCAAAGGTGGTGTGACAAGCTCAGCCGGTATGTGCTAAAGCATATATACGCTGCCACCCATTGCTTGCGCCTTGCAGTCGCGTGGGCTCGGCATCTTGAAATGGCCCTTGGCCTTGTCTTGAACAGATCTCGCCTGTCGACAACTGGGTGGTTGCGGAGGCATGGCGGGCAGGGTGTTTGCGGCTTTGGACCGCCTGCCTTCTGGATATCGCTATGGACCTGCACCTGCCTGGAGGGGTCCTGCATCAGTCCAGCATGCAGGGCAACTGACAAGTGTCTCGCAATCCTACAGGGTATGTTCAACAAGCCTTTGTTTCTTTTTGGCCGCTAAGCCGTTCGGCAAATGCAAACATGGCTTCACCATGGTTCATCCAGGACTCGAGATGCAAGTACATGTTGAAGACAAGCCACCATTGGGTTCTTCTTGTCTGCCACGAGTGCCCCATTCATTGATAACGACGATGCATATATCGTCTGCCCAAGCGAAGCGAATGCATTCAGGCAAGAACACTGTCAGCGTATGTCAGCGCTTGGCCTGCTTGCGCTGGCGTGGTGTGATAGGCTCACGTACACTTTCTGGAGCCTGTACCTGAACCGCGCAAGCTTCTCTGAGCATAGCCCAAAACGCCCACAGCAACATAACAACAGCTTTGCAGTTTACAACGTGTCGAAGGTTCAGTCTGAAGGCTAGAATTTCCTTCCCAATTCTACAATGGACTCCTGTGACTCAGAGTAACAAGCACATGGTCAATTTCAGCTACACGGCAGCGTCCGTTTAATCACTCAGGGTCTGTGCAGGGCCCGAGTTCCAAACAAATTGCCGCACTTCAAACAAGTGGCAGCATTGGGCATAAGAATCTCTGCTGGCCACGCTGGACTGACAAACATGGCGATGGGACGAATGGACGCAAGCCCGCGACTGTGTTTAAGCTTCTAGAAACGGCCGCAGAACTCAGAACGCTACAGCTGAAGTGCACGCATAAATCTCTCTGATAGCGAGCACTGCAACTGAGGGTGGTCGCGCTTCTCCTCGTCTGGATTGGTTACTCTTCGCCTGTGCGAATGCAGTCTCCAATCACTGAGGCTAGTGAAGAAGTTTCTAATGTTAACTGCCCTGTACACAGTGCAAGCTTACCAGTCCCTGCCTCTGCTCTTGTGGGTTGCGTCGCGGACGCACGAGTAAGCGATGCACTCGCAAAACACCTCCCTGATCTACAGTCCTCGGCATGCATGGATTTCACTCGTACTCGACGGCCGCCTCGCGGCACGTGAAACACACCAGAGTCACTAGAGTCACTTGGGCATTGTCGCTACGACGTACTCATCCTGTGCGCAGATCTGGACTAACCCACACGGCATGCAGCTTTTCAGCGAAAGTAAGCAAAAGTGCCTGCATCGGTGACACCGCCATCTGGGCTATCGCCTCACACCAGCCGCGAGCTCGCACTCTAACCCCGTTCAGCACCTAAAAGTCGCTCAGCGTCGAGAAGCCGGTCCTGCTTGTGCCCGGTTGGAAACACCAATGCGAGGTCACCTGACCTCAGAGACAGAAGTGGAGGCGGATTTGGTGCAAACCACGTTGTACTATCCAGTGACCTATGAGTCTGAGTAGCTTGCACGGTATACAAGCAAATGTCGCCATCTGCCTGGACCTTAGCAGATCGCACTCAGGAATGGGTCGAAAGAGCATCAGCAGCTCCTCAAGTCATCGTCAGCGACACATTGCTCTTCAGCAGGCACAGGACTTGTGAACATGCCAGCATGTCAGCTGGCTCGATGGCGAGCATCTACAAGGGTATGGGTTGAGGCGGTTAATGTGCCGTATTCGCCTGATGCAAGTAAACTCAGCATGCGAAAATGGCTGGAGGCAGCTTGACCTGTACACTGTACACAAAAGCGCAAACTTCAGTACGGGCTAGCACGTTGTGGAAAGGCCGGCAACTGACCTTGGTTGATTTGCCAACTCCTCACCCAGGCGTGCTTTCTTCCATGTCCTTTTCCAGGAATTGTCGGTTTGGATATGGCTTGCCCTGACAAACTTCCCGATGCTCTCACCAAACGCGGGGCCAGGAATTGCCGCTGCATGTCGGACCACGAAGCCTGCAGCCATGATGCTTGCAACATGAACGGCAGATAACATCCGGAGTGGATACATGCATGCTGGAAACGCAAAGGCATGGGTAAAACACCCTGATACATAGGGAATCGAGGTGGGGATTGAGCTGCCCTAGCTACCGACATGACGCAGAGATCTGCACAGCTATGTGCCGGCATTGTCCAGCATCGATCCTGGCCAATGCTCAATCTGCAAGCAAAGAGCCGCTGCCGTGCCCGTGCACAATTTTTGGTACCAGGCCTGCGACAAGCCTGCCGCGTCTTGTGCCGGCACTTACAATCTACCCTTCAAAAAAGCGCCGGATGCGTGTTAAAGGCCTTTTGTTCTGTGCAACCCTTAGGGCATCATCCTCATGTACCATGTACAATCAGATACTTATAGTCTGTGTACTCTGCCCATTTTCAGCTGAAGAATGCGGAAGTTGCTCAGATTTCCGGCGCCATTCCTCTTGCGAGTGGCATTCATATTGGTGGCCATCTGAACGGGTTTGAAGCAATTCTTCTGCATTTGTTCCTCGGTCGCCCTTCGAACGGATTTCTTCGTCCATTTTTACATCTCTGCGATTCGTTGCTAAGGCTAGAAGCGAAATTTGGGGCAAGCAATGGACTTGCTCAACTGCGAGTCGGCCGTGCCTTCTGGAGTGACGCTTGCACCTATTGCCGACGGCTCCATCTGCCACGCCTCCAGTAAGCACTGCAAGTCCGTCTCAGATGAGATCGTCCCGCGGAAAATCTGCGGCACCTTTGTCAACAACAAACAGGAAGCTTACTGTCTCCTTGATGCCGAAGTTCTTCATGCATCCCCATACCCATCCATACCCTCGCACCTTTCAATGCAATCCGAACACTACTTCAGAGAAAGGGACCATTTTAAAGAAATTTTTTGGGGGTGGAATTAGCCGCCAAAGACTAGCTACAATTAGGTGGCTTTTCGTATGAGGAAAAGGGACTAGATTTACAGAAAGTTTTCGGGGAACCTATCCTGATGGTATATTTCAGCAGGTAGTTTTAGCTACATTTGCTGCAAAAAGACTGGCAGCTGCTGTCTAATTTCGAGTTTACATTAGTAGAAACTAATTCTGCAGAGCCTGCTGCTGCTCCGCTTTCTAAGGCTTTAAACTAAAGATTTTCAAGAAATCCAGGCCCTTCAGAAAGCTATAGTTTCTTCTATGCCCGCTTACTTAAACCAAATTTGTTCATTCCTTCCTAGGCTCCCCTTACCAAGGCTGCCCTACAGC